TCCTAAAGTTGAGATTTCATTTCTCTAGTCAGAGTTTCTCAAGCTTGGGTCTGGGAGGGCTTTCCCTGCCAATGAGGGGACCTATAGGTCACCCTGTTTCAGACACGCTGCTCAATGCCACAGAAGCACGTGGGAGGTGAGGCCACCTCTGCCCCCCCCCACACACACACACAGGTCCCTCTCCCGACCAAGTCTCACCGTCTGTGAGGTCTGAGGTCTCTAGGCAAGCCAGCTTCCGGGGCCGGCCAGGTCTCCTTCGGGGTCTTGGGGTACTGGGAGTAGGGCGCTGGGGCCGTAGTTGCCGGCCCCGGGGCTCATCCTCAGCCGGATTGTAGTCACTGTCCTCTGTGGAGACAGCAAGAGGCAGCAGGCGTCAGCTTTCAGCGTGCCTCCTCGCACAGCTCCCCTGGGAAGAGGCCCACTTCCTCATCCCTGCCTATCAGCTGCCCATTCTTCCATCAAGCCCACCAGTGATGCCTCCTCTAGGAAGCCCTTCTGGCTCTATGTAAGTTTCCTTCCTCTGAGCCCCTGCAGTCCTTTGTCTGTACCATTCCTGGCACCTCCTGCTGGCTCACATAACGCTTCAATGAGAAATAGAAAAAGGCACCTCCTCCTCAGCCATTGTTGGAAAATAGCTGTAACAAACTACCGAGGCTACAAACTCTTGTGATTGTGCTACCAAACACAGCAGTCACCAGCCACATGTGGTTACTGAGCACCTGAACTGTGCCTAGTCCCAACTGAGGTGTGCCTTCAGTGCAAAATACACAATGGATTTTACAGACTTAGCATGAAGAAAACAAAATATTTTTTATAATGTACCTTTAAGATGAGCACACATTAAAACAGTAGATTTTAGATTCAGCAGGTAAGTAAAATTCATGATTACAATTAATTTTACCTCTTTTTACTTTTTCAAACCGTGATTCCCAAGAAAGGTAGACGTACACACATGACTTGAGTTACATTTCTATTGGACAGATATGAATGGGGCTTTTTCAGTGCACAGCCTGTACGATGGCATGTGGAGGTCCTGGTCTCAGAACATGGCCTCCTCTGTCTTACCCTGAAGCCACCTGTGGCTTCCTCTCTGCCAACTCCCCTTTCCTGGCCCTCCAGCTATTAAGTGAGTATTTGGGGACAGGGATGAGGGTGGGGGTGGCAGTCCTGGAAGCCACACTGGCCTACCCTCTAGGTCGTCAATAGCTCCGGCATCTATGATGTCGTCATCCTCCTCTTCGGGCCCGTTCTCCTCCTGGGTCTTGGCCGAGACACCCCACTTTCGCAGACGACCTTTCTTATTGGCTGCTGCTGCCGCTGCTGCTGCTGCTAAGGTAAGACGGGTCTGCCAATCTAGCTACCTGCACCCCGCCCTCAGCCCACTGTGCCATCTGGGCAGGTGGGCTGCTAAGCACAGACCTGGGCGGAAGTGCCGCTCCCGCATGTGGCGCAGCAGTGTGGCCTTGGTGCTGCTCCGGTACTGGCACATCTTGCACTTGAACTGCTGGACCACCACCACCTCCATCATGGCCTCCAGGCTCTGCAGATCTGGCTCCTCGGCTGGGCCTGGAGGTGGCTGTGCTGCTAGGGAACCGGGCCCGCCCTGCACCTCCTCTGGTGGCTCCAGGCATGTGGATGTGGATGTGGGGCCATCAGCCAGGGCCTCGATGGCTGCCAGGCTATGGGCCAGGGTGGAACTGGACATTGGTGATGCCAGGGGGGCTCCTGTGGTGGGTGAGCAGAGCAGTGGGGAGGGAAGCAGACAGCAGGATTGGCCACAGGCAAGCCCAGAGATCCCGGAACCCAACTCCCCACCAGGTCACCTGCCAGTGGGGAAACAGGCCCAGAGCAGTGGATAATCTGTCAAGATTGCACAGTGAGCCAGTGGCTGAGCCTGGCCACACCCTGAGTCCAACCCCTGGGGTCTTACCATCATCTGGGCCCTGAAGGATCAGGAAGCGTGTGGTCTCAACCCCGCCATCCTCAGCACTGGTCACAGTGATGCAGCCTGGGCAGAGACGGGGGAACCCCAGCTGCAGACACACACCCCACAGGCCACTCTGGCTGCCTATGTGGTGTGAGCCAGCCCCATCACCTCTCAGCCTCAGCTGCCTCCATTAGCAGAGCTGTTAAGAGGCTCTATGTGTGACATGCTGGCCCAGTAGCCTGCCTGAGTTCATGGCCCAATGCCGTTCACTGCTTGCTGGTGACAGTAAGTCATTTTACATCTTTTGTGCCTCAGATTTCTCATGTAGAACATGAGGGTAACAGCATCTACCTTTTGGGGTTACTGAGAGGATTACAGGAGCTACTGTACACAAGGTTCAGAACCATCCCCAGCACAAAGGAAACAATTTCTGTTTCTATTGTTCACTACATGCCAGGCACTAAGCTAAGCCCTCACTGTACCATCTCAGCAAGCCCTCATGCAACTCACTACTGTCAGGGGCACCCCCAACCCCATTTCATATATTCAGAGCTGTGAGGTTATACGTCTGAGGTCACACAGCAGGGTCGAGCAGGCAGCTCTGCTGGACTCTGCAGAGAAAGCCCATGGATGACCCCAACCCCTCTCCTGACTCACTCTGGATGAGGTCCGGCCCAATGGTGGACTCAATGATCTTGTCGATGGCTGAGCCCAGGTCTGAGGAAGACGCTGTGCAGTCGGACACCAGCATGGCAGGGTCTGGGAGTGCACTGGAGTGCACCAGGGCTGGGGGGCCACCTGTCATCCCCGCTACCGGGCCCCGGGACACAGAAGACGAATCTGGGAGGTAGCCATGGGGCAAGGGGTCCGTGCTCGAACTGCTCTCAGATACTTCCTCCTGGATGTAGGGGAGATGGATGCAGGATGGGAGGAGTTCAGGAGCCAGGGGTAGACAAGGAGGCCTGCTAGACAGGCTCCCTGGCCTCCAGCCATAGTGAGCAGAGCTGCCCACATTCTCAGCCCCACTTGGGACTAGTGGGAGAAGCCCTCTAGCCACAGAGCCCCCCAAGAACAAGTCTCAGGGTTCCTGGCTTTACCTGGTTAGGGGGTCACCCGAGAATAAGAAAAGGAGGTCCTATCTCCAACATCACAGACAGACAGAACTTTTTACCCTGGCCTTTACACAAGTTGTTCCCTCTGCCTGAAATACCCTTCTTCCCATCAACCCCCAGCTAACTCCAACCAGTCTTCTCACAGCCATTTAGCTATACCTCTTCTAGGAAGCTGACCCTGACCCCAAGGCCGAGGTCTGCCCCCTCAGTGCTGCAGTCTCCAGTGCTTGTCCATCACAGGACCTCTCAGCATTGTAACATCCCCATGCCCGAATGTACCCAGACTGGCACTTGGCAGGCCCATCTCATCTGAATTCATGAATCCCAAGATGCCTCATGAATCCCAAGATGCCAGAGTAGGGGTCACTGCTGTGTGCTTCTACTAAGTGACAGGACTCTTGTCCTCCATGTGTGGTGCGAATGGTAACAGGCTTGGCTGCTAACTGAATGGCTGGAGACTCTTGTCCAGTAAGAAGCACTTTGGAAGAAAGGCCTGCCAATCTACTCCAAACCAGCACTCTGACACACGTGGGGTTGCTGTGAGTCAACTCCAAGGCAACTGGTTTTTTTTTTTTCTTCACTAGGAGAGCTCTGGTAGCATAGTGGCTAAGGCACTTGACTGCTAACCAGAAGGCTGGCGGTTCAAACCCACCAGCCATTCCTCGGAAGGAAGGTTGGGCAATCCTACTTCCATAGTGATACTGCCTCGGAAACCCAAGGAGGGGTCACTATGAGTCAGGGCTGACTCGACGGCACACAACAACAACAACAACAACAGATGTCTTGAATCTGATTCCTATCTTGCAAATAATAATAGTAAAGACTCATACTTACCGAGTGCTATGTGTTGGGCATGGTTTTAATTGGTTAAGATATGAACTCATTTAATCCTCACAAAACCCCTATAAGGCAGATATATTTATCATTCCCACTTTACAGTGAAAGAAACTGAGATCTAGAAATGGAATCGTTTGCCCAAGATCACAGAGCTAGGAAGTGGCAGTCAGGAAGAGGTGGTTTAAAAGCATTCCAGAAGAATGTCAGTTGGCAGTTCACAAGAGAGCAGCTCAAGAGACAGGTATTACTGCTCCATTTTGCAGAGGGGAGAATGAGACCCAAGGAGGTCTCCCAAAGAATCATGGGCAAGACCAACACTCAACAAAGCCTAGTGTTTCTCAAAGTGTGAGCCACGAGGATAGAGCAGTGGGGAAGACCACAGCTTAGGTCGGAATCCTGGCTCTGTCTAGGCTGTGTGCCTCGGTTTCCTTTTCTGTGAAACGAGGAAACCGTGCCTTAGGGGTGTACTATGGTACCTGGCTCACAGTAAACCAGAAACAACAAACATTAGCTGTATGTAAGCGTTGCTGGCTGCTTCCCCTTGGTGCTAGTGCTAGGCACTATTGCCTGCGTAACCTGCCTCCACCCATGCCATCCAGCCCGGTCCATACCAGAGAGCTGCTGCCGCGGTCCGAGCTTTGCCCTACGCCAGAGTCGTCGGCCTCTATGGGTCCAGGGGCAGCGCAAGCGTCGCTGCTGTCTGCTGACACTGCTTCCGAGGTGCCCACACCCAAGCCGCTCTCAGAGGGCTCCTCGGGCCGCCCAGGCCCTGGGGTCGCGTCGCTACTGCTCTCCACCTCGTTTTCCTCCATCGGCTCCAGGGGCTGTCTGGTAGAGGAGTGCAGGGTCTGTGGCCCTCACTCTGTGGAAGAGGTGGCAGGGGCTGGAACAGCTGGGCCACCTCCCTGGCCTTGGCGACCACAGCCCACACATCTGCAACCTTGCACCCATTCTGCAGATGCAAAGACTGAGGTTCCGACGGGGCGGAGCTTTCTCGTGTCCGCAGAGAGGAACTCTGGGAAAACAAGACTGAGAAGCCTACCTTCCCAGTCGAGAGCCGTTCCACATACCTAAGAGGGTGGTCAATGGCCGGTAATCTTGACCATTTCCCCATTTCCCCCTCCTCAGTGTCTCCCAGAGAGTGGTTCGTTCTACGAGCCCCATACAGGCTCAGTGGTTCAACCCTTCAGCCCCCCGGGCCCCCCCAGTTCAGGGTGTGTGGTACAGCCCGCAGGCCCCCTGGGTCAGTGGTTCGCTCCCCCCTCCCCTTGTTCCTCTGCGGAGGGGGTTGACAGAGACAGTCCCGGGGCCTGGTGACTTGGGGCTGTCCCCGGCGCTGCCTGCGCTCCAGACCCGACGCCATCTTGTGGCGGCTCCGGGTTTCCGCTCAGGCAAGTGCGAGAGCGACTAAAGGGCCTGGGACCCCGGGGCCCTGTTCGGACAGCCCCGCCGGCCCGATACCTCACTGCCGGTTGTTCTCGCCGTGCGACCCTGCTCCATGGCAGGGCGCAATGGTGCGACCTGACTCTGGCCGATACTCACCCGACGCTCTCGTAGCGGCGTTTCTCTCTGACTCCGGCATCGACGAGGTCGCCATCCTCTTCCCCCCCGCCGCGGAGGGACCCATCGGCCTATAGTAGGCCGGAACTACTTCATTCGCCGTCCTGAGGAAAAGCAGGTTTCCAGTGTGCCGAAAGGCCGTTTTGAGATCCCAGAACTGTAATCCTGCCTTTAGAGCGCCTATAATTTTGCATTTCGCCTAGTTTGGATGATAGGAGGCGCTATAGGTTGGGGACTACTTTTCCTCTTCGCGGAGGATTAAATAAGGGAGTTGTATTGACGTCACTGCCTGGGTCCCTTCCCTGGGTCGCAAGGTTGGGCGTGGCGAAGTCACGCCCACTCTCCTGGGGGCGTGGTTCCTGGTGGCCTAGTCACGCCCCTCCCGGAACCGAAGTGTGAAGCGTTCCCCGTAGCGTAGAAGTGCGTGGACCTGCGGCGTGGCTTCAATTTCGTGCGCCGGAAATAACTGTTAGCAGTTATCTTGTCAGACTCCTTACCGATTATTTAGGGCTCTCATCATACCTAATCAGGTTAGGTTTGACATGTCCTTGGAGGGGAGCCTATAATCCTTGTACTGATGGGAAAACAGGCCTGGAGATGAGAAGTGGCTAGTCCAAAGTCACCTCAAGGAAGGGAACTCAGTCTCTGGGAGGCAAGCCCGGGTGCCGGCTTGGGGAAGTGGAGAGCAGCTAATGTCGGCCCTTAGTGGAGTTTGCAGACGTGTTTGTTAACCTGGAGGCCAAGACGTCCTCCCATAGCTGCCCTCTGCGCAGGGTAGATGGTGAAGATATTTTCAAAGGCCTTCACCCCTTCAGAAAAGGTATTTCCCTCCCGATGTCCAAATTGCCACCTTTGACACCACCTTCTATTTACGTCTTTTTAGTATTTTGCACTCAAAGAGCATTGGAAAGGGGTCAGGCACCCTGATTTTGTCCCCAACACTGTTGCACAGGCTATTTTCCTGAATTGAAAAATACAGATTTTGGAAGAAAGAATCGCAAAAGACAAACCAACAAACAAAAACTCCTATAGAGAAAGCCTGTTACAAAGGACACAGTGCTTTGCGTTATCACTTGTGTGCCCCTGAGTATGAGGGGGTTTACCCAATCCTTTTCTAGGAGAACGTTTTGCGAGGAGGAATACAGCAGGGGGCCCCTGAATGGGTAGGCTCCAGGTCCTCTCTCCACCAGGACCACGCCAGTAGGGCAGGTGTGAACATCGGGTCAGCATTGGCATGATGGGCACTTGGCTTTCCATTCCTCCTCATGCAGTTTTGCAATATGGTCCTGATTCCTCAGTTACATAGAGGCACCTCTTGTTTTGTACCCCATGCCCCCCATACCTGTAGGATGTGTCTCACCCCTGACCGAGTCACCTCCCCAAAGCATGTCAGAGTACTAAGGAGTAGCCCTACAATACCCATTCCCACCCTCAGCCCAGCTAAGACTCAACCCTATGGGTGAGTGAGCTTTTGCCAGTGAATCACAAGATTATAGTGTTATGGTTCAGGGGATGACAGCTCATCATGGAACAGAAAGGGAACCCTAGTTGGAAACAACATATCAAAAGCAGCCCATCACAAAGACAAGCTGGTTTCCTGACTGCTAATCCAAGTTTTGTCCCAGCAAAGCATGTAGTAGTCTGTAGGTCTGGCATTAGCTTTGTTGAAGAGACTTGGAGGGAGTGAAAGGGTTCTAGGTCAGAAGAATGTCAAAGTGGGATGTTGAGAAAAATGCACAGAATAGAGTTGCCAAGTGAGAAATAGGAGAGGAAGTACTTTATTGGTTTTTAATAATTTAGATTTTGTTGTTGAGAACATACACAACAAAAACATCCAAAAAAAAAAAAAAAATCCAAACTCATTCTCCTGTGAGTTGCATTACAAATTCGACCTACACATAAAAAAATCTGA